ATAGATAGGTATGAGCACACTGAGGGGTTAGAACGATCCGTGAAGCATGCATAGATAGGTATGAGCACACTGAGGGGTTAGAACGATCCGTGAAGAATGCATTGATAAGTTTATTTCAATCAAAAATGTGCACACAAAAGTATATACATTGTACGTGTATAATTATACGTGTAACATTATGTTATACCAACGAAGTAACGTATGCAAAACAATTTAAGACTGTTTACTAGTAAATGAAATTAACTTTACTCTACCACATCCAAGGAAAATGTCATAGAACCACAACAGTGTGTACCCACGAAATAATTGGAAAGCTTCAAACCACGAAAGACAGAACACGCGAACATTGCATGTTATAAAGTATACGCACAGGACACACGTGTGTCGTTACCTCTTGTTAACTAAAGATCGCCTATAAATCCCAGAAATTTGTTTGAATTTTTTCCTACTCTTCATCGACTGAAAATTATTTTTGGATAATGATAATTGAAGCATAACATTTGTAAAATATTTATAAAAAATGATTATTTTGATGGAATCGTTGAAGTATTAATGATTCATTAGACAATGCAATATTCATTTCATTCGTTTTCAATCCATAGTTAAATTAGGCTTTTATATACTTGTAACAAGCATTTTGTACATTACCGGCATAACAGGCAGCACTAGTTACATGTATACTAAGTATTGATAGTATTGTAACTCGACCACAGATGGAAGAAATGTCTAAATCATATCTATTTTAGTATAGCGAAATGTATCATACTGGCTATGGTGATGATACCACGAACATGCACCATCGATTATTCGTCACGAACAAATTAAGTTGAAACTTTTGACAAACATAACCTTGGTTACAGTATCTAACACTGCACGTGTAGCCGCGGTGTCGCACGTGCTTGACCACCAATTTCGCGTAATTCAGGCACGTGCCGTTGCATGTTTGCAAGACGGAAGCACGGGTCGTATTGTTGTCGATTTCAAGAGATGCCGGAACTTCTGCTCCACGACGGGTTGACTGGTCGACCGGTCACGTGTCGCCTTGACGACAGCGGCATTACGTGGGTATATAGGTGGCTGATGTCTCTGGCTTCTCACAGATTGATTTTGACATCAAAATGTTTGAATGATTGCTCCTGGAAAATAACGAAACGAACTGAGTAGATCTGACAATGGCACCAAAGGAACTAAAAGTCACAGTAAGTACGCTTTTGTCGTAGTTGAAAATGAATTATAACAGTGTACTTGTGTATACTTAAACATGTAACTTATAGATATATATCTATATCTGTATAATATATTAATCAGAAAGTAAAGGATCAAAACGCAACCAAATGACGTTGTAAACACTTCCTAACATTTAACAAATGAAATGACTCGTCGATTTTAATATTTATATCATCAATGAGATTTAATTTTGTGAAAGCGACTCAGCCAATTAAAAATCATAATGCAAAAAGAAGTTACCAAATATTAAAAAGGACGCTCAACAAATACTAAATTATAAACGTTTTTTTCTGGATATTTTTCATCGTTAACTTTTAACAAACAAAAGTAAAATAATGTTCGTACAACGTATAATGCATATTGTAAATGAGACATAACATAGTGAACGAAATCACCAAGTATAAAGCGGGTATAATAATGAGATGTATGGAAACGTGTCTCTCCTATCCTGAACATGTATGTTGTCCGTGATTCCCCACAGGATCAGTCTTCTCACAAGGTGATAGAGAAACGGAGGAGGGATAGGATCAACGCCTGTCTATCGGAACTTAGCCAGACCGTACCGGCGGCCTTCTCCAAACAGGTAGATACTGTCAATGTACCAAACAGGTAGATACTGTCATTGTTCCAAACAGGTAGATATTGGCATTGTACCAAACAGGTCGATACTGTCCATGTACCAAACAGGTCGATACTGTCAATGTACCAAACAGGGAGATACTGTCATTGTACCAAACAGGTAGATACTGTCGTTGTACCAAACATGTAGATACTGTCATTGTCCCAAACAGGTAGATATTGTCACTCTACCAAACAGGTCGATACTGTCAATGTGCCAAACAGGTAGATACTGTCAATGTACGAAACAGGTCGATACTGTCAATGTACCAAACAGTTAGATACTGTCAATGTACCAGACAGGTCGATACTGTCATTGTACCAAACAGGTAGATATTGGCATTGTACTAAACAGGTAGATGCTGTCATTGTCCCAAACAGGTAGATACTGTCATTCTACGAAACAGGTAGATTCTGTCAATGTACCAAACAGGTAGATACTGTCAATGTATCAAACAGGTAGATACTGTCAATGTACCAGACAGGTCGATACTGTCATTGTACCCGACAGGTAGATACTGTCAATGTACCAAACAGTTAGATACTGTCAATGTACCAGACAGGTCGATACTGTCATTGGTCCAAACAGGTGTACCAAACAGGTAGATACTGTCATTGTACCAAACATGTAGATACTGTCATTGTACCAAACAGGTAGATACTGTCATTCTACGAAACAGGTCGATACTGTCAATGTACCAAACAGGTAGATACTGTCAATGTACCAAATAGGTAGATACTGTCAATGTACCAGACAGGTCGATACTGTCATTGTACCCGACAGGTAGATACTGTCAATGTACCAAACAGGTAGATACTGTCATTGAACCAAACAGGTAGATACTGTCAATGTACCAAACAGGTAGATACTGTCAATGTACCAAACAGGTAGATACTGTCATTGTACCAAACAGGTAGATACTGTCACTCTACCAAACAGGTCGATACTGTCAATGTACCAAACAGGTAGATACTGTCATTGTACCAAACAGGTAGATTCTGTCATTGAACCAAACAGGTAGATACTGTCAATGTAACAAACAGGTAGATACTGTCAATGTACCCAACAGGTAGATACTGTCATTGTACCAAACATGTAGATACTGTCATTGTACCAAACAGGTCGATACTGTCAATGGGGGGAACAGGTAGATACTGTCATTGTACCCGACAGGTAGATACTGTCATTGTACCCGACAGGTAGATACTGTCAATGTACCAAACATGTAGACACTGTCAATGTACCAAACAGGTTGATACTGTCAATGTATCAAACAGGTAGATACTGTCAATGTACCAAACAGGTAGATACTGTCAAAGTACCAAAGAGGTTGATACTGTCAATGTACCAAACAGGTAGATACTGTCAATGTACCAAACAGGTAGATACTGTCCATGTACGAAACAGGTAGATACTGTCCATGTACCAAACAGGTAGATACCGTCAATGTACCAAACAGGTAGATACTGTCAAAGTACCAAACAGGTTGATACTGTCAATGTATCAAACAGGTAGATACTGTCAATGTACCAAAGAGGTAGATACTGTCAAAGTACCAAAGAGGTTGATACTGTCAATGTCCCAAACAGGTAGATACTGTCAATGTACCAGACAGGTCGATACTGTCATTGTTCCAAACAGGTAGATATTGGCATTGTACTAAACAGGTAGATACTGTCATTGTACCAAACAGGTAGATACTGTCAATGTACCAAACAGGTAGATAATGTCAATATACCGAAGAAAAAGATACTGTAAACACGAAACAAGTCGTTAACTTCACGTTAAAACACAGGTAGGCACCGTAACTATACCAAGCAGGTAGGCATAGTTATTTTTAACAGAACATGTATGTAACGTCACTGTACCAAACAGGTAGGCATCGACATAATTATATAGAGGTAGACACGAGGACCATACGAAACAAATCGCTACCATGACTACAAGGAAACTGCAAATTTACCAAACAGGTTGATACTATCCATACACTATACACACATCACTGTCAAAATACCAATCGGGTAGGTACCATAGAACCTGGGAACATCAATATACCATACAAGAAGGCACTCTCACTACACCAAACATGCTGGTACTGTCGCTATGTCATTGTATCAAACAGATATACGCCGCCACTATAGACCAACCAATTAAGAATTATCACTTTACAAAACAGGTCGACAACGCCAGTAGATTAAACAGTTTTAAACAATTGTCATTAGACTAAACAGTACGACACCGCCTAGTAACCCCGCACACATACTGATACATTATCAGGGATTTTTTGCACCTGCAACTAGTGGTATCAATTGGGTTTCTAAGCATACATTGGTATTACAAATAGAGTATCAGTTAACGTACCGATACCGTCATAGTTACTACTTAATATATTGCTATATGTAAATAGAGGTTAGCAAGGGATGATAATATATTTATACTTAAGGGGATTCGTTCATTGATCTTATATTACTAATATTGAACACTTTCTTATTTATTGTTCATATTTTAGAATGCTGGAAAACTTGAAAAGGCAGAGATTCTAGAAATGACGGTCGAGTATCTGCGAGCAGTCCAGACCACAGAGATAGGCACTCGGTTTGACCATGGTAAGTCTTTACACGAACATAAACATCTATGACACGGACGGGACCATGACGATTACCACATGTGGTGCGGAAGGCATTTACACTGCTAGGACACATTGTCTTTGTTTAGAAAACGTTCATGATGTCTGTTTTGCGTGTTTTTGGTCGGTTTTTGTCGGTGTAGTTTGTATTGACTTCAAGTTCCATTTTTATCCTTGTGTGTTAACGTTATAGTATTATTAACATTACTAGTGACAATTTGATACATTTTGTATTTGTGTGTGAACGTTATTGTATATATTGTCCTTATTAGTGACGATTGGTTACATTTTGTATTTGTGTGTTAACGTTCTAGTATGTACTGACCTTATTAGTGACAATTTGTTACATTTTGTATTTGTGTGTTAACGTTTGGAATATTTTGTCCTTATTAGTAACGATTTGTTACATTTTGTATTTGTGTGTTAACTTTCTAGTATGTACTGACCTTATTAGTGACAATTTGTTACATTTTGTATTTGTGTGTTAACGTTATGGTATATTTTTTCCTTATTAGTGACAATTTGGTACATTTTGTATTTGTGTGTTAACGTTATGGTATATATTGTCCTTATTAGGAATGATTGGTTACATTTTGTATTTGTGCGTGTCGGCTCTGTGAGTATAATATACATGAATTGATGCTATATTTTACTCTTTATTGTTGATGTTTTGGTATAATCTACCGTGGTGTTTTGACGCTCTGGTATTTGTCTCTGTGTTTTGATACTGTAGTAATGTATTAAACTTTGCCCTTTACCTGTCGATGCTTTGGTGTGTTATCATATTTACTTGGTGTGTATTAAGAGAGCATAGTCCACTAAAACATATATTTATAATACAGAATGATTGATTAGATGATAGAACAAAGTGCAGTTCAAATAGAAATATAGATATACCAGAAAGATATTACACATCATCACATGACATTTAATGCATCTACTCGACAGGGAAACCTTTATATAATGTAACCTATATATCATTTCAGTGAAGCGCTGGCTCAAACATTACACTTGACTCAATGACACGCCAACTAAGCATTGTTCATGGCAGAAATATTAAAATTAAACTGCTTATGTATCTAAGATATCCAATATGTGATCATTTATATGAAATATAAGATATCGTACATAAAATTTATGAAATCTTATTTATTTTCATTTAAGATATCTTACATATGTACATCATTTTTCTGTGTCAAATATGATACAAATACAAGTATAATGAAACGCTGTTTCTATATAAGATATGTTATACAGAACGTTCTGAAAAACATTCATCATTTTTCTTAACTTTATATGATATATATCCAAACCTCCTTTTCAAGAAAGTGAGGTGATATTCTAAATTGATACTGCTATATATTATTGTGTATGACCACATTGAAATAAAACTAGTTTTTGATTACTCTAATGCGTGGATTTCGTATACTTGTTTGTATGCATGACAACTTTGATATAAGTAACAGTGTATAAACCAATGTACATTTATAACAGTATAATATAGAAAATACTTTATAGAATGATTTAGATACAGATAATGCTAAATTTCACGCGATATAAAAGTACACAGTGAGAGTTCATGCGTGAACAATCCGAGGACCCACTAGGCAGACAAAAACAATTACTATTTCTCGACATTCAAACCGTCGATTGACCATTCCTCGTACGACAGTTGCATGTTATTTCATACTGCACGTGACCTTAAGAAAGAAGCAGTAGTTCCTCGCGTGCTCTACACGTGATCGGCACACTCAGCACGTGACATGCATGTGCGGCTTATCAGATAATAACTACCAGTAAGGTAACATATCGCAAGAGTTGCGCATTGTAACGTCGCAATGTTACAAACACGTGAGTAAATTAGTTTTAAACACCCGCATCTACGTCTGTTGTCTTGTAATGCAAAGTGACACAAAGAAATGGAGGATTGATCTCTTATTTGGAGACGTGGGACAGTGTCTCACCTAAGGGTCTATTAAAACGGGATTCATCATGGACCCCGTGTTAGCTCGTACAAAGAACTGAGGCCATCCCCTCAAATCAAACTACCCACACAACAAAGGCGTTGTGTGACAGCTACGCTCCACTAATTATACGTCACGTCCAGGCTCGCGGAGAACTCGTCACGGCTGGCGTGGTGCACATGGAGGCTGGTGCGGTACCCGTGCTTTTGTTGTATTGACACTGTGGAGTGTCGTAATGTTTGCTCAATGCACTGTTATCTCCACGTAAACACAAGTTAAAAAGGCATAAAGACGTCACACACCTGTCTGCGAATTTCAAAATAATGATTTTATTTCTTGTATTGATCTTCAGCTTGATTTACTGTAGCTAGTGTTTTGTAAATAGACAACCATAAACGTGAAACAATGCTTTGTGTTTCAGGTGAGTGGTATAGCTCGGACGTTTGGGCTGACTTTGTTCACCATTACCAGGCCGGATACGACGACTGCGTCAGGGAAATCGTACGATACATGACGGACGTTGAGGGATTACAGGCGAGTGACGAAAGATGCATGCGCATAATATCGTACCTCCAAACCCGTTTCCGCGCAGATGCGTCTGTAAGCGGAGGATCTGCATACCGTGACGTTTTACAACGATTGACGTCACTGGCCAAATCACGAGCTTCGCTTCCCGTGGAGAGATCGTACAGATACGCCCCATACATATTACCTGCAAGAGACGTCACAAACTCAACACCTGCATTGTTGGCAAATATGTTTAGCGGCAGTATGTCAGAGGATAACAATAGTCGAAATATAGTTACAGCAGATATTCATAGTTCGTCGTCTCGGCTGTCCTCTCCCACCCTGACCAGGACAGCCAGACCTGAAGGCAGGCACCATTCTAGCTTACCATATTTCAGAGAAAAGTGAACATTGTCACCATATTCCTTTATTCTGTATGTTCTTTGCATTCAACAAATTTATAAACTACATGTTTTTAAAGTCTATCATAATTTGTGTTTCTATAATAATTGATATTTCTGTGTCTGGATTGTTTAATATATATTATGATTTTGTAATTACAGTTTGTCAGATTATGTATGATTAAATACAGATATGTTGAATCTTTAGTGCGCATATACTGGAGAATACAAAGGCCAATATCATGGCACAATAAGGCCATTACTGTGAATGTATTACGAGTCAATTGAAATATATAACCATCATAGCTGTGTTGATGTACCAGTTTCTAGCGATCAAATACGCGAAATACGTTCCCAATTGTGAGAGAGACGAAAATTTAAACGAAGTGTTGTAAATGCTCAAAATTTGTCGGATTGGTTCAAAACAATGTATTTTCGAAGTTATGTTTACGTGTTTGTTTTAAGTAACTCATGTAGTAGATAAACATCAACAGCGTTTATGAGGTAAAGGAGGTATGCAGAATTAGAATGGTAAAATAATCCCGATAGAGATCTAGCTGAAGTCTTCAGATCCTTACCGACTGTTTCTGAAACCAACTCACAATTAAAAATGTTCCTTCCACAACTCAACCTTAATATAAAGGATGCTTTCGTGGTTTAGATAAGGTGTTACAATGTTTGGATTAGTTTATAAAGAAATGCATTATTGCCACCCAACAATCCTCTGATTATCTTTTTACATTTTTCACTTATTCTCTATTCTACGAGATTTACGGCAGACTGTTTATGTCATTGTCCTAACTACGAGTTGTAATTTTAGATATTTTGGTCATTAATAAGTAATAGGAGACAACCATGGCCCTTGTTTCCCAAAATCATCTTGTCTAGTTCAGATAACATAAAACATGGTAAGGGATACAGGCCCCACAGCAAAATTAAATCATAATCAGATATATATTCATTGTAATATATGTCAATCACGCAAATAGTATATATTGGCTAAATGTGGTAAAAAATATATCAAATATCACCAGAGGGATTTCGGGATCAGCTCTATCGCATTGAAGGATATAAATGTGTTCCCGACACCAAGCTACCACTACAAAGTCTGCACAGAAAAATTCCAGGGTACCACACATTGACAGAATGTGACATTGTCAGCCAACTGGGTGGACGTGACAGCACTACAAAAGACATTCCAGAGACACGCTGTTCCATTGGAGACTCTTGGACATGGAATGCTTTCTGAGACGACAGTGAAGGATCCGGGGGAATTCGTCTCTGCGAATGTTAAACTGTTCGACAATCAGCTGCAGATGCAAACGGTTAAGTTGTACGGGCGCAGCACGTGTAGTGATAGCATCCGTCACAACACGTTTACCGTTATGACGGAGCCGGAGGAATCAGGCTAATGAGTCATGGTGTGCTAGCTTTATACTTCAAATACGTAATTAAATTATTCTCAAGATAACTTGAATGATTGATTGTTCATTATATTTTTGGATAATGGATTGAATGTTGCCAGTATGAGATTATTTCCTATATATCGGAATAGCTCTGCAGTCAACATTGGTAATGTCGATCGAGCATTAAAAAAGATTTTTTGTTGCCATGTTTTGATTATTTTGAAGTTAAATGGTAGCAAAGAATCTTTGAGCATCGATATCATCATTGCAATCAGCGAGACTTATTATATACATGTATATAATACAACACTGTATCTAGCAGTGCATGGACAATTATAATATATTTTCTCAATATCTTGAACATTTGAGAGAGAAAGGTTAAATTGGTTGATTACATTTTATAGATATGGTATCCCCAGTAATTTGTCATGATATTTCTTACTGAACTCGGCTAGTTCTGACAGTAAGATCCTTAATCAAGTAATGACCGCAGCTTTATAGGAATATTATATTCTTCTGCACATGAAAACAATAGATAACCACATTATTTCTACTCCTATTACAAAATCATTGTATATATTAGTTATAAGGAAGAGAACATATTATAAAATGTTAAATCGTGAGCACTATTCCTTTTTCATTATATCAATTGAAATATGTTTAAACTAATAAACCTTACATGAAAACATAGCATATGGTACCTTCCAGTCCCCAAACTAGAGTGGGATTTTGGTATGTTTTCTCATGTTTCCTAATGATGTAAGATTTAGGAAAGATATTAAAATAAGCATAGTTGTTAGAATTATTCTCACGTACTATTTCCTTCATTGTGTTTCGAACAGTTTCTATATATCACCACAAGCAGAGGAGGTAAGTTGATTTTACAAATAAAGAAAATCGGTATGCATCATCAGACGCAAAGTAACCATCAAATGATAAGTATATAAAAATGTAAAAATAGAAATGGCACAGACTAATTCCATTTTAGGTGACTGCATCCAACTCGATGGTTTCACCTAGTGATGATTTCAGTAACGTTTCCCCCAGCCTATATTAATAGTGTTGAACGTCTTCATCTGTTTAGCTGTAATGTGTTGTAAGGAGAATCACGTTAACCGTAACTGTTGGACGTCAGTACCTAACATTTCACGTAGAAGGAAGGGACGCCCTAAACTGTCAACCAATTTGTGTTCAGCTTATGATTCGCAAATAGTTCAACCCAAGATAATTGAAAATAAGAAACACTACAAAACATGGCGATAATTTATTAGTATACCCTAGTGGTTGCCAAGCTCTTGTTTTCAAAAACAGATATCTTCTGTGATATATTGAACATTTGGCCATAGACGAGGGAAGCTAGTTACGTAACTGTCTTGTAGGAGATTATTTATGTTATATTTCACAAAAAAACAAATTAGAAATGGAAACAAAAAAGTGAAAACCTATTCATTGTATGAAATTATACTGTGTTAGTATTTGCAAATTATTTAGTTTGCAATCGTTCCGTGGGAGAAATATTTCAGGCATATCATTAATCTATTTCTCATAGGTTTGGCTACACAGATGTATCCATGTGTGCAACGTCCAGAGTAATATAGTCAATCTATCAATATATATATATTTAAAAAGAAATAAGTATACACTCAACATATTTCTCTAAACTTTGTTCTTAAAAAAACCCAAGTAATGCTAAGTTGAAGAACGAGTAGTTATATCTACAGGTATGTACAGTAGCTATCCGGAGATAAATTGTGAAACTACACAGCATGGAAACACATCTCTTTAAAAAAAATAGCAGGTCGATCGGAAAGTTAATGAGGACCGTGTGTAAGATTAGCTTTGCTAAACAGGTTTTTTTATCCTCAATAAATAATGTTTCTTATTATTATTAAGTTAAGCAAAATAAATATTAACTAAGCTTAACTAACTACTTCACTTTGAGAGCGGATTGGTCGACAGTCTGTGAATTTTTGTTTATGCATTGCCAAGAAAGCCCATATGGTTGTATTTCAGACGTGTTCAGATGATAGTTTGTTCACGTTTGTGCAATTAAGCAGCCCTTAAAGATTTCTTTTATTTATCTATTTTATCATATCGACGCGTGTGTACAAACATTTTGTGAATAAGGATTGTGCATGTGTATATGACCTTGGACATGAGGGTTGAACTATCCTGCTGTAACAGGTCCCCTAGCCATTGTACAGTGTATATCAGCGAAATAGGTTAAGGGTAGGACTATCACGTCAAATCGGTATAAAGATACTATTTCTCGGTTAGTTTCCACGGAAGAAGCTATAATCTTCCGTCACAACCCTGTTATTATTACTACCAGCGTGTTTAAGATGTTATTGCAAAATGTGCAGTTTTAATCGTTTTTGATACGTTAAAACCTTACCGTCAACCAATATATTAATCCGAATACCAGCCAAAATAATTGTATTTACTTGATAGGTATGAATTAGGTAGCATAACTAAATTAGGTGGTGTAACTATTCACTGTATGTAGCGAACGACAGTCAAACTAGCTTCTGAAACAGGTGATGAAAAAATAGTTTCCTGACTTTCTAAACGCTTTTAAAACACTGTAAGGAATATTTTCTTAACAGTTGGCTGGTAAGCGAAAACAATTATCAGAAATGTCTAAAGGTTTATATAACTAAATCTCATATTCAAACTACAAAAAATGTAATATACTAAGCATATATCAATCGTTTTAACAGGAAATGTTTACTTTCTTTAGTATGAATCAGCGACCGAGATATTTTTTCTAACCACTATTAATTTTAGACCTATCTGACCTTGTTACTCAGGGTCCGTAATAGTGTATTGTGTCATATCTGACAGGACAAATCAAATTTATTTCAAACAGCTTGCAATGATTTCTCTCCCACAAATCGGTCAACAGTTATTGGTGAAATGAAAACTTAACGGGTTTACGTTGTTCCGGGAACAAGGGGTAGATGTCATATCTTACCGATAACTCGTTCATCGCCTCATCATCCGAGCTCCTCGTACATAGGTCAACAAGCGACTCTGTGGTTACCCTATCATTGACCGTGCCGTGTACAGGTGCGGTACAGGTAAGGCTCCAACACCTATCCCTGACACATGTCATAGCCTGGTCTCAGTATCTAAACATTCCACTCACGTCAGGTAATGTACACGATAATAGGTAAAGATCATCATTGATCAAAATATCACAGATTATATTGTTTACAGTAAATAAAATATTCCCTTTTAAAAATTGCGTATGTAAATCTTTTCAATCTACGTACCAAATATTATCTTATTTACAGAAAGGTAAAGAAACAAGATGCACGCTGCAAAAATACACTTAGGAAATGACCTGTAGTCCATTTTGTCATGAAGGGGAACAGGTTTATTCCACTAGATTTATATATAAATATTACTGTAAATTACCTTATATTTGAGAATAGAATAGTTTTCGACTCAAAAAAATGAAATATACTATACACAGGAAAAATAAGCCCACGCTTCGACGAACTTATATAACTTATAATCAGTGACGCATTATACATTTAACGAGTATTATTTTGTATATTATGTTAACATTTTGAATAGTAAAACCACAGTATAGTACTCACTTCATTTGCCACCTTTCCTTACCGCCAAAATATTCCAAGATATCTTTTCCATTTTGCTGAGCA